CTAGCGACACCAGTTGTGGCCCTGTGAATATAACGTCATTAGAGACTGTCACGTCACCCGTATTGCACATGCCTGGCCTGAGCGACGATAATATTTTGCATTTCACATTCGATTTGTCGCATGCACCATCAGTAAAACAGTCCAAGAACATCAGAGACTACAACAAGGGTAACTATCTAGTTATTAATAATGAACTGTGCTCCTTTTTAGACATTTTCTTACCAGGTTATCTTGGGCGCTCAGTAGAAACTAATTGGTTTGTTCCGTAATAAAGTGTCTGAACTAATTCATCTCCATATCCCTCTTCGGGGGTACTCCAATAACCAAGCTCCATGATAAACAGATACTTAAACCGACTTTCTAAAAGGAAAAAACACTTTTTAGAATCGCTAAGTATTCACTTAAACCGGCCAACTGGACAAAGTACAAGACAGCCTCTTTAGCATATTCGCGAGCGCTAAAGGATACTAATCTTCGTTCTTCAATGTAACCCTGCCGAATATCCTGAAGACTAACCCTAAACGTTTTTGGAGTATAATGAAACTACTTAGCACCAGTAAAGTATCATTGGTTACACCCACCGGCGATCCTGTTCCCGACCATCTTTGTTCTACTGTGCTAAATGATACATTCATTAGGTCGTTTTCTTCATCTAATTATACCCAACGTCCTGAGCTTCAGTCGTACAATCATTTTGCGATGAATCCCATCACGTTTGACTCGCATGGCATCATCACGATTATCGACAACCTGAAACTAACGTCTTCATGGTATTGATGGAATTAATAGTAAATTTTAAAGAATACGAAAGAATACAGTTCCATCATCCTTAAATGCATATTTTCACAATCGTATCATGATGGTGTACTACCTGAAGACTGGAGAACTGCTGCGATTATTCAAGTACATAAAGGCGGTGATAAACATAGTCCATCTAACTATCGTCCTATATCTCTCACATGTGTACCATGCAAAATAATGGAACATATAATATTTTCTCATCTTGTTAATTTTTTAGAAGATAATAGCTTTTTCTCTTCAAATCAGCATGGTTTCGAAAGATGTTTCTTGTGATACTCAACTAATTTCTTTTACTAATGATTTGCATTTATCTTTGGACTCTGCTTCTTTAACTGACTGTATATTTCTTGACTTTGCTAAAGCGTTTGATTAAGTTAACTATTCCCTGCTCTTACATAACCAAGTGTTCTAAAAATTGACCCTGCAGTTTTTAACTGGATTCGTGCATTCCTTTTTCTCGTGTTCAATTTGTCAGCACTAACGATGTTAATTCTTCCACTGCACCGGTTGATTCTGGGGTTCCTCAAGGATCAGTACTTGGCCCCCTGCTATTCCTAATCTATATAAATGGCTTACCTTCTACTATTACTTCCAATATTTGTTTGTTCGCTTACGGCTGTGTGATTTACCGTAAAATATCTAATGACAATAATATTCATTCTCTGCAGGCTGATCTCAATAATATGCTTCATTGGTGTCATATTTGGAAAATGGAACTAAACATTCAAAAATGCAAGTCTATGAGGATTTCTCGGTCGAGTACAACTTGTCCAACTTACTTTCTCACAGTCACCCCCTTGAAACTGTAACATCTTACCGGTACCTCGGCGTCCACATAACACACTTTGTCCTGGAATTTACATACAGAACATATAGCGTCCAAAGCTAATAAAACACTGGGTTACCTTCGAAAAAACTTCTTTCTTGCTCCATCATCACTAAAGTATTACTATATACCACATACGTCCGTCCTCAATGGAATACGCTTCATCTGTTTGGGACTCTGGTCAGGTAACATTATCACACATGTTGGAATCCATTCAAAATCGTGAAGCTCGTTTCTTTGGCTAACTACCATCGTTCAGCTAGTGCACTCAAATGAAGGCATCTCTAAACCTCATCCTACTAGTTACCCGCCGAAAGCGCACTCGCATTTGTCTGTTTCATAAAATATTCTATCATAATCCGAAACTCCGTTCCCGTTTAATCCAAGCTGCTCCTTCATTCTCTTCGCCATAATCACCAACAAAAAGTCACAGTCCCCCATTGCAACACAGTAACATATGCCCAATCATATCTCCCAAGAACTTGTAATGAATGGAATTCCCTGCCTGCATCAATAACAAGCATCAATGAACCCATTCAATTTAAGAATGTCCTTAAAACAATGATATCTAATTACCCCCTGTATGTTTGTTGAACAGTTTATTTGTATTGCTTTTTGCCTTCACCATGTAATAAAATAAAATTAGTGTTATCATTTGCTTTATTATGATGTGAGTTGTTAGGAGTAATCTTTGTACCCCAATTAGTGACAACATTTTTATGCCATTTGCTTTGTATTGCTTGTTTTGTTTATTGTTGGGCATGCCCTTCCCCTCTGAAATGTACTGTGTACCCTGAGGGTAAAATAATAAATAAAAAATAATAAATACAAGCAAAACCAAAAGCGCTGGAAACTGGCTGAGAAGGCCACCTCCACACTTTAGACATGCGGCAGACCTTCGGAAATATTTTTGTAGAATGAATTTTCCTTAACTCCTAGCAGCAACTCTCTATTGAATAGCTAGCATACATTTCTGGCAATTATTACTGCTCAACACACTCAGACTGCGAAGCTGACACCTTAATTTGATATTTGACTTGCAGAGATTGTTTTGATTACAGAACTTTGATGTTACTGTATCGTAACCATGACAGGCACAAGTTTTTGTAAAGTTCACCCGCCCATTTGCATTTTTCGCACAATACCCGTACAGTGGTTCACAAGGTCTGTCAAAATCACTATATCACCAAGATGGGCAAACTGAAATTGATTCTGAAAGTTGAGTGGCTGGACTAACTACTAGAAAGTGCTGTGTGCACGAGATACGCATTCATATGCCAAATCAACGATCCAAAGCGTACATCACTGGTGATAAATTTGAAGAGGCGTGAAAACGAAGAGTTAATTTGAAAATTTTGAGCACCATGTGCGAATGCCAGATTCTAATTTTGCTGCAAATCCGTGACAATGACAGCCCTAAAGCGCGACACAGACGTGCAATTTTCCGTGCGATGCAGCGTGTGGTGTGCCATGGTGCGGAGTGCCGCATGCGACGTTTTGGGACACACGAGGACGAAGGAGCTATCAGCGGCTGGCTCCACCCACATGCGGCGCCTCGGCATGCGCGGTCGGATGACTTAGTATCCTCGTAATGAAACTCAAAACAACAACATTGCACAGTTGCGCTTCCTTTCATAAAATAAAAAATATGAATAAAACTTCGTGAATGACAAGCGCGTCGCAACAGCGGTAACAGCTGATTATTCACGACTCCGACAGGTAGGCCTAGCATGGCGGGCGCCAGCCGTCGCCTACCCCGTTCTTCACGCGAGCTCGCCATCGAGCGCTTGTTTTTGACAGTATTATTGAGCTTTGCACGTATGTAATGCGTTTGCATACGCTATTACTTTCTCGGTGCCATCGATGTAGAGTGAAGGTGGAAGCGAAACGAGCCAGCGCAGATACACTGGTAGCCGTGTTAACCTGCGAAATGAAGCTTGCATCGCTGCTCACTATCTCCGGTTTCAAAACGGGCTAACGTTTTCAAACGGGAGTTGTCGTGCAGAAATGGCACACTTCAAACATCACTTTATTCAATCCGGAATAATATCACGTCATCAGAGAAATGTACTCGATGTTTGTCACGCCGCCACAGTCGGTGATGTCAGCAAATCCACGCTAACACCACTCCATCGACTCGCTTGAACTGGCCTAGATCACAGGTGATGGAAGTGGCTACAGGGAGATGGCGCCACTAGCGACGTGACGTCACTCGTCTGCTTGCACTGTGACTGGCTGCTGCCATGCAGCAGTGCGATGCGGCGCCGAATATATCTGGCCATTTGATGCTTGCCGCACTGGCTATGAGGCGGTGCGATGCGATGATACGTCACGAAACGTCACCACTCCGGCTGTCACACCATCACACCGCACGGCGAATCGCATGTATGTCTCGTGCTTTAGGGGCCATAAAAGCAATGCAGTGTAGTGACACTAATGAGTGGCAGCTGAAACAACCCAGTCTCGCTACTTCCAGGGCAAAAATAAACTGTCTCGTGGTCAACTTGAATGTGCGCCTGCGAAAAACAAGACATGCTTCCCTCCAACACAGTGATGATGCACGGGCAGCATATTGCATGCTTTTCCCAACCTCAGTGCGTCACGATTTACCCATTTTTTCTGCGAATATATATAAAATTATTAAAGGACAGTCTAGCAGAATTCACAATGATTGCGAACCTCCGATTGCCAGTTGCTTTTGCAATCAATGCACTTGCACTGCTGGCGGAGTTCTTGTCTGTAACGTCTCTTCGAAAACTTAGCTCGAAAACTTTAATGATCATGTTTTCCAGCAAACTCACCGCGAATTTGTCACACTAGAAATACTTAAATTCTTTATTTTACCTCAAAAAAAGGCCGAATGATCGCATCATGACGTGCTGATGCAGCGAGGAGCACCCGACATGCTGCCCACGTGTCACTATACTGTGTTGTAGTGAAGATGTCTTGTTTTCCAAAGGCGTGCATTTCAGTGTTTTTAGACTGAAACACTGATATGGCCAGAATTTTTTTTTAAAGCAGTGGCAGCAGTGAGGTCCACTGTTCCCCCATGCTTGTGGCAAAATACACACCAGGTATTGCTGGAAAACGAAACTGTTGAGCAGTAAACTAGCCGGCACAGCTAACAACCAGGCCTAATTACTTTAAGTAATTTCAAGTCCCTTGCATACCACTCTGTTAATTAGAAAACCCACTTAATTTGAAGTTTTCTCACAGCCACAGTGACTTCGAATTAATGAGGTTTTACTGTACAATGTCGAACAATGACCTGAAGGCCCATTGTACGACATTGCTGACCAGGGGTACAAAATGTAAGAGAAGTTTATAAAATGCTAGTCGTCAGACACACCAGTACAACAAAAACGTAGCTTACGATCCATATAGCACAACGCTGCTTGTCAGGCAGTCAAGCACCATGGTGTCTCCAGAGAGAAGTACATCTTCTAAACCTTGCGTGTACTGCACCATGCAAGGTATGGCCAGGCACACATCAAGCAGGATGTCGCCAGCTCGCTCCCGTTGCAAGCTGGCCAAATTTTTGGCCAGCAAAAGATTCTGCGTACAAAATTAGCACATTGTAAAACTAAGATCCAAAATAATTAAAAATGACAGTACTTTTTTGAAGGATTTGAAACTAGCCACACAGATACATTACTACTTCATACTGCGCATAGACTGCAGTCTAGGCACTGCCAAGTGGGCACATGATGGCATCGCCATGGCGACTGCATTAAAGGGGCCCTGCTACACTTTTAATGGATTCTCTAAAGAAGCTTATTGCCTCACGAATTAACTGTTGCGAAAAATCCATCCTGTATGAGCGAGTTGAAAAGATTTGTTTCACGATGCTATTGCAGTCCCTCTTTTTTTTTTTTTTTTTTTTTTTTTGTCACGATGAAAGAGCTCGACACTAAGCGGGAGGGCTGACACAGGGAAAGAAAATACGCCATGTCTGCCTTAAAACCTTGAATACTTTCTTTTTGCCAAATGCAGGTCTTTTCAGCGCGATCGTGCGCACAAGCTTGGACAAGTCTCAGCTTCCCACGGCAGCAACAGAGCACGCCATGCTCAAATTAGCCAATGGCTGACACAATGGCTGTGATGAATAATTTTTGAACTTGTTCCATCTGTTGTTCAGAAAAAAGAAAGCAATTTTTAGATGACTGGAATTTATTGTAAATTCCAGGCCGCATGCTGTGCTATAATATTGGCTCGCATCTTCTCGGGAGCCTGAACTACTTATCGGCAAAGTTTTCTGATTATGCTCAAAAAGTTTGGGGCAGCTTTAAATTATGCAGCTCATGATGCTCAAATGAGCCAAGAAGCAAAAGGACAAGTGACCTGGAATTTACAAATAATTCCCAAAGTCCCCTAAACAATGTTCCCTCTTCTTTTTACAATGATGCCTTGTACCAAAATTTTCGGTCATTACATGATTTGAGCATCTTGAGTTGAAGAGCTGCCAAGGTCGCCGCAGCATACCGCCACATCCGTGCACATGCTCTAGTGATCACACTAAATGTAAGCTGTGTGTTTGAAGAGAAAAAAAAGGGGGAAGGGGGGGGGGGGGGCTAAGTTACACTAGCCTTTCAAAGCTTAAACAATGGTATGATGAAGGTGGTGGATCTTGTGGGCTCAACGTGGCTCTTTTGGCTGATGTTAAGTCTTTCCTTGGTGTAGGCAGAGCGTCGAACCACAGCCTGTCACAGACCTTGCAAGAAGGTCCAGACTCCAGCACCAGAAGCTGGCTGTGGCACGCTCGTTAGAAACACGTGATTTTCGTCGTTCATATACTCGGCTCACGCAGAGAATAAACTAGAGCAGCAACTGTGAGGACTATCACCGTCGGTGGATGTAGCTGATACACATCAGCCCACAGGGTTTCGCAAGTCGTGATAAGCAATGGCGCAGAGGGTTTTTTTGCAGACATCCGAGATTTAACCCCGAACTTTAAAGTTTTACTCTTGAAAATAAAAAAGGATGTCAGAACACACATGATGCAACTTCTCTTTTCCCTTACTACGATACCTCCCTGCTTAGCTTCCTGCCTGTGCATCACGACGAGATAAGGGTGAAAGCACCCGCAGCATTCAACAGACCTGTGAGTCTGCTTACACATGACAGCTTATAAAAAATTTTGCGGTCGTCGATTTGTAAGGAAATAGACTCCTTTAATGAAGCTATAATGGTAGCTTAGCATTGCAAGACCCCTTTAAAATTGCGTCTTAGTAATGTACAGCTTTACGATCCCGCCACTCTTACCACGACATGACGCTTAGCAATAAAGAAAACTTGTGAAAAAGAAATTCGGGTGGTGATGCCACATGAAGATTCCCGCACCAAACATTTCGATGTCAGTAATTTTGAGGGAGTCCACGAGTCCCACGTAGCTTCCAATCAATAAAAATCAAGTACATTGTAATCTGTGAGCTAGAAATTTTATCGAGCCAATGCCACCAAAAAAACATTTTTAAATTTCTTACGTACATCATGTGCAGAGACTTTGGTGCAAAATGTAAAATGAAACATCAACCTTGATTTTTTCCGCTGATTGATTGATATGCGGGTTTGATGTCCCAAAACCACCGTATGATTATGAGAGACGTCATAGTGGAGGGCTCCGGAAATTTTGACCACCTGGGATTTTTTAACATGCACCCAAAGATTTTTTCCGCTAATAATGAACTTGTGATGGTGAAACATATAGCATTAGAGTTCTCAGAGTGCAGTTTGTTGATCTAAACCAACTCGCCTTTAGTGTCCCTTTAAAGTACCATAGTATTCCACTCCTTCTGTGTACAACAGAACAGAGACCCAGCTCAAGCTTCAGTTTCTAAATGTTCACTGCAAAAAAGAAAAAGAGTACAACAGTAAAAACACCTTAGCTTCCATTCCAGGGTCAATGATATGGCTGGCACTGAGATCCAAGTCCTTGTCAAGATCTGTGCTAGCGTCTGACTTGGGCCCCAAGGGGTTTTCCAGAAGTGGGGTAGACAGCTGCTCGAGAATGGTACTGCTAGGGTTCAGCCATAGCTGCCGCAGCTCTCGTGTGTCGTCCCGACGACGTTCTGATGAAAAAAAGTTAATCACTTGTGAGCAACAAATTAACCATCCAGATCAATGGTCGATTTCTTCCTCACAACTAGTAAGCAATTTAAGTGTAAAATCATGTGAACATATTAGATAAAAGTAAGGAAGGCTAATGTTTGCTACAGCTGGACTGAGCTTGCAAAAATCCCCTTGAGTCTGAGGGTAGCTGATGGAATTTATGCAAGTTTCAGGCACTAAGCCAAACCACACTACAATGTTACCATATTTACTCGAACCTAGGATTTTAAGCCGACCCCAGAAAATCCGAAGCCCACGAAACAAAAACTTGCCTCGAATGTAGGCCGAACAAAAGCAAGGACAGCGTTCACAAGGAAAAACATTTATTGACCATGAAGATGAAACAAAGGAGTTGGTTCATGATGCAAATAACTTGAAAACATACAGCCGCTAGTCCTGTTGTGTGTCTTCGTCGTAGTTTTTTTCGCGCTGCTCCTAGTTATTTCCATCATATAAGATGCTGCACTTGCCCATGCCACGATCATTCCGAGTCGTCACCGATTCCCTTGATGCCGACTTATTTGTCACTGTGTTCAAACAGTGCACAATCCTTGGTGCCATCAAGCACATTGGATATGCCGCACTTCTTAAAACAGCACACAATCAAAGTTCCCAGGTTGTCAGGCCACGCTGCAGCCCCTTCAGCGACGCACATTTTTTCGTCCATTCCAAAGTACCCCCCCCGCTTGAACATTGGATGATGACTACGCGGCTAGGACAACTTTCCTTTTATAAGCGGCACTGAAATGACACCACTTGTTTGGCACCATTGAGCTACGCCACACACAGACCACTCAAAGGGCGACTCAAAATGACAAACTGCTCGCCTCAACACTCTCCACAATGATCAAAATGGCGGCCTCACGTGTGTACTTATAGGGTCAACTTCGGCAATTTTGTGAGGTCAATGGATCTCATTGAAATTTGCTGGGTACGTTCCTTTGCACATTTCCATAATTTGTCACTAATTACAGGCTGGAAAGATACTCAGATTCTTGAAAAATCAATTTTATAGACTGCGCCGGCTCTTTCAACTGGCTTTCAAAAATTATTGGCAACATTGAGTGTGCCAACATTTACATCAATACGACGGAAGTGACAACAGAGATGCCACTACATCATCTGCTGTTCACAAGGCAATGATTGAGTGTGTTGCTTAGCCAACGTTACGTTCATTCGGCGAACGGAATTGTTCGTTGTGGGTCTGAGTGCGATGGGTGGCAATTGGCGTTGTGTTGTGGTTTCACGCGATTCCAGAAGTCGCTAAACACTCGGACCTCACAATTACCCTTGTCTAAATATTATACTGTTGTAGCTATCAGTGGTGGCTCACTGAATGCAAACTAATACCACACGGCTGAAGGGGGTCCCATATGTGAACATTAATGTAGTGTACTAAGCACGCACATTACTGCATGTAAACACCTTTTATAACTTATACAGGGTCCACCGTGATTGGGCCTAGCGCACCATACGAAAGGTGGCTGCGTACTTGCCTAAAAATAAATTCCTTCAACCCTGCCACCAACCCTCCCACCGCAAACTTCGCTGTTGCCATGCATATGCGCTCTTCCTATAGCGATATAAAGAAGCTTCAGTTAGCCTGCAAGCTTTTAAGCAGTAGCATTTTAACAATCACGGCCCTACAACTTTGAACAACCTGGACAGGTGCCGCCATCTGATAGTGAAATGCACAACTAGCAATCGCCAACCATTCAGCAATTTAACTTTGCCTCCACATGCGTCCGAATCTATGCTGGCATTTTCAGACATCTCCAAAAAGCTTGTGCACATAGCATGGTCAGTAACACGCATGGTGCAGCTGTTGCGATGAGGTCACCTTTGCCCAGAGAGTCTGCTTTTCGCCGCTTTCACAGCTTCCATACCCGCACTGTCGAGAGCGGCCTGCCTTGCACAGTTTCCAGTTTGCATGATTTTTACCAACATCTTCACCATACGAAGGCAGTGCTGCAGTTGGGTTTCAGTGCTGCGCTTTCTTGCTTACTTAAAATTGTCCTCCACTTTTCTGAGTATTTCTGCTATCAGGCCGATGACAGGAGACTCTCGGGAACATAAGAGCCCCATTACTTTCACATGGGCAGAAAACCACGGAGTTGGCCTTCAAAGGGAGACACTAAAGGCAAATATTAAGCCGATGTTGATCGCTAAAATAGTGATCCAGAAACCTCGTAGTGCTACTTTTGTGCCAATGAAGTGCTTATTTTGAAATTAAATCGCGTTTTAGCAGTCCACATCGCGATAGCACACTTCAAATCCCCCCTCCCTAAAGTGTCTGTCTCATGTCACTGTTGACGTGCACAACGTTGCCCGGCTTTACTGTGCAGCTGCCGACACTTGTAGAAGCAGAGCGAAAATACTGGGAACCACACCAGCTACGGCCATTGAACAAATTTGTGCCATAGCCTTCGAGATGGCAGGCGTGCTTGGCTTGACTGGGCCCACTAGATGGCACGATCTGCCCAGTTTAACCAATTGAACTTTGAACCACATGCGCCATTCCCCATGGTGATGCCTGGCGGTTCTTTTTTCGATGAATCAAACAGAAACAGACAAGCAGAATTTTTTTACGTCTCTTATGCATAGAAGGTTCTTTAGTGCAGCTTGTTCGATTACTAGTGATTAATGTAGACGGTAACACTGACGTCATCGGGATCATTTTGCG